TCGAAGATTTCTTCGTGAAGTCCGTCAGGCCCATTAAGGAAACAAAATCATCATCATCATCATCATCATCATCATCATCATCATCTGCTAATACTCTAGCAACAGCAGCTCAAAGAAACGTGAGACTTACTTAAAAAAAGATTCCACTTTTTTTTGCAGAGTTAGTGACTTAAAAAAAAAAAAAGATTTGTGCTTGGAAACCTCACCCACACCACTGTGTTACGCCCACCCCTGACCCCACAACGCATTTCTGTCCCCCCCTTTTTCTCCCTGCCCCACCCTCTCATTTCTCCAGGTGCCATCCGTTATTCCACTCCGATGTTCGTGGGTGGCCTGGTACTGGTGGCTGTGGCGGTCGTGCTGCACTTTGTGGGGACGCTGCACCAGGACGTGAAGACGGTCATCTCCGCTGTGCTTTACATCGCCACCGGTAAGACCCCTCCCCCCCAACAAATCATAATTATTAGGCAAAATTGTATAATTATGTTTAACGTCCTTTGCAGCTCTGCAAGATATTAAGTTTAAGAGGTACGGCTTCTGAATTTATTGTCTATCTAGAATAGGACGGAGTACAAATCGGGGAAAAAAAATCTTGTAAAATGTCTTTCCTAATGACACAATGGCGGACGTAGCTGGGCCTTGAAACCGCAGTCCCACCGGTACGTCATGGTGCTGGTTTGTTTGGGTAGACAAAGGGTAACGATAAACTTTTAGTGGGGAAGAGGGGTTACAATTTGTTGTTATACGTTTTACGCCTCCAACTATATAACTTGGCCTCGTGGTAAAGTCAGGTGCTCGTTCAAATAATGAAACCGAAGAAACCAATATTTTTTCCGCCTCTTAGGTAATTTCGATCTTTTTGGGGGTTCGACACCTTTTATGTCCAGCTAAGAAAACATTTCTGTGTTGAATGTACGAGAACAAAAACGTTTACGAAAGATACGTAAAATGTAACTTTGCAGTTTCCGGGGACACTCAAGCTTTAGAAGACACCATATTTTATAGGCCATTCTCTCACAAAATTTAGCTCTGACACCAGGCGGCCCAACCTCCTTCAACGGTAAATATCTCGACCGTCATTCAAGATAGATTAGTATTTTTTCAACGGAAGGAGGACAAAGGTAAAATGCTTCAAGATTTTACCAATAATTCCATATTATGCGTAAAAATGATGAGCTCTTCATGTCATATGATTGTGACACAAACGTACTTCAGTTTAGCTAAAGCTGAGGTGTTGTAAAGGACGGTCGATGATTATTGTAAGAAGTGTGATGATATGAAATAATAGATGAAATACACCGCTGCCTTTCATGTTGTATCGCCCCATACGCAGTTTTAAGCTAACGTTATATTTTCCTGCAGTCTCTTCCTCTCACCCAATCAATATTTAGTAGTTATCTCCTTTGTATCTTCCACAAGCCTACCCAAGTCTTGACAAAGCAATTCGTCTCTCCATCTCCAGCCCCAAGGATTGACCCCACATATAACCCAACCTAGTTTTCGTTTCTTTCCATCGCCTACACCAACCCAATCCTTTCATCCACCCTCATTATTTTTCTGCCGACTTTCATTACTTACCCAACCGGTTTTGAGCATTCATCAACCCCCTCCCCCAATGTGCCCCTTCTCCCCCCCCCTCCCTTGCCCCAGTCTTGCCACAGCTGTTTCTCCATCTACATAACTTTTCTCCTATCTCGTAATCCCACCACGACCCCATTTGTTCTCTGTCCATCAAGCTCTTTCACCCGGACCTTACAAAAAAGAGCAAGGTATAACGAAACAAAAACAAAATTTCTTGGTTCAGGAAGCAGGCAAAGTAGTGTGAAGATATCGACATCAGGGCTAGACAAACTCTTCAAGTGTCTGCTAATGGCTTGGTTTTGGGATAAATAGCCAAGTAAGGGCCAGATAATCTGTCTCGTGTGACGAAAAGATTCTTTTTCAGGGAGAGGTTCGGGAAATTGACACAAGCGTTTCCTTTTGGAGACAGTGGGGTCGTTGGAAGTGGAATTACCCCCCCCCCCCCCAACCCCTACCCCCCACCCCTCAACAAGACCAAACAGGCACCATAGTACGTTAAAAAAGTCGGACCTTTGATTGACTTCAGTTGGAATGCCCTCAGTCATGTTTAGAAAGACGCTACGCAGTTATCCAGACACACTAAGAAATGTAATTTCAAGGCTTGAACACTTCCTTTCGGGAATGGGTCTTCAAAGTTCTCCCAAACAGAAATCAGCTTATCATTCACCTGAAGGTGGCCACCAGGGCCCTAAGTTAGCTTAGGAAAGGAATTGCTTGGTTCTTAAAACACCACTGTCAAAATATTGGTAATTGATTGGACCGAAGCCGTCTGTCTGTCTGTCCGTTTGTTTGTCTGTCTGTCCGCCCCCTCTCCTGGTCTGTATCTCTCTGTGGGTCTATGTAACAAAGGGGAAAGAGGAGGGCGGGTGACTACTTTTTAACTTTTTAATTCTTACAACGACAGGGCAAACGCACACACACACATGCAAACATAGACGCACAACACACGCACACGCACACACATGCACACACATACACACACACACACACACACACACACACACACACACACACACACACACACACGGACACCTACACCCACGCTTACACGCATTCATCAGCAATCACAACCACATCCATGCTCAGAGAAGGAATGATTACCTCCCAGATTTCAACATTACGTCATCATTCTCTTAGCTTGTAGAAAGAGTAACGAAAAGGCTTTTCGTTAGTTTTTTGGTATGTTTATTCTGAAGCACAATCAAGTAACAAACGCTCGAGTGCGATAGATACTCTGTGAAAGAAAAGTGTTAAGTATTTTTCAAAATAAGATACCGTGGATACATCAGGGCAGATAAACTTCACCACCCGAGAATCGAACTCATAACGTCGTAGACATCGGTGCCCTGAAGCTTCTAGAACACAATCCGATCAAGATGGAATTAGGGGACGTGCGTAAATTGTTCTTGACAGCACCCTACTGACAAATGAATTGAGCACGCAACAAAATGAGACTCCGCGGCCCATGAGGTTATGAACTCAACCTGGATGCTCACCCATGTCACCAAACCAAGCCACACGTTCACGGAAAAGGGAAGCTACTCGATGTGGTTCAGGAGACTCTTCTATTGATTTCCCCCTTGAACTAGGTCCACCGAAGAACTCCATACAAACGGACGCCCTCGGTTGTGGCCTATGCTTTAGAAGAGAGGATGAAAAACGAAAAACATCACGTTTAACAAACTGGACGTATCGCGGACAGTGCGGGACACGTAATATTGATTAGAGCAGCTGAATAACCAAGCGTGTGTGTGAGCGAGGGAGTGAGTGAGTGAGTGAGTGAGTGTGTGTGTGTGTGTGTGTGTGTGTGTGTGTGTGTGTGCATGTGTGTGTGTGTGTGTGTGTGTGTGTGTGTTTGTGTGTGTGTGTGTGTGTGTGTGTGTGTGTGTGTGTGTGTGTGTGTGTGTGTGTGTGCAAGGGGACAGGGTCTGAATATTGTCTTACGGTTAATCTGTTCCGACGTAATCTAATGAAAGAGACACCACTTGCCACCTTACTGTACTCATGCCTCCTCTAGGTCCAATGCCCCAGGCTGCGTGGATACCTTTTCTTCCTTTTTTGTTTGCTCCTATTTCTGTTTTGCTCATTCTTTTGCGTTTAGTTAACGAAAGCCGTCGCACTCCTAGCTTATCTACTCTAGACAGCGTTGCTTGCTTGCAACCCTTGTACAAACCCCCAAAACACATTCTGTATCTAA